GGTGGCCGTTTTAGGTCTTTAAGCTTCACATATGAAATGATGATGAGAATAATGTTGATCTCATGGGATTATCATAAAGCTTCCATGAAATGGTGCATGTATTCATACTAAGCGCAGGACCAGCGTGTGTTGTGTCCAGAAAACTATCAGCCGTGAATAGTATTGTAAAGAACCAGCAGCGATCAGTCAGATTAAGAAGGAAGGGGAGGGAAATTCCAAGCCGAGGGCCAAAGGCCAGATGTCTGCAGGGTGAGTGCCTTTGTAAGTTTTCCCTATGGCAAAAAGAAGTCTGTGTGGGGAGAGAAGATGGGACTAAAGCCAACGCAGAAGCCAGGTCCTGGAGGGCTGCGTGCTAAGCGAGGGGCTGGGAACCGGGCTCTAACAGCTCTGGGGCCCGACTGAGGGGTGAGGCTGACGGAGTCAGGTGTGCTCTATCCAGAGCACGGTGGTGTCTGGAGGGGAAGGAGAAAGCCCAGAACTGGGGAGGGCAGTCAGCAGCCACCGCGACACCAGACTACAGGGGAAAGGCTTATGTGCTCGTCAGATGACTTTCACTGTTGGATTCGGCCAGGTTTTGAGGAACGTGTCTGTCCATTTATATGTCTCCTGCTCCCATCTGTGGTTTTAAATATGAATGTGGGGCTCTTGTTCTTCCCGAGGAGTCCATGTGCTTAATAGTTTAGGGGCTACTAGAGGTTTTCTTGCCAAACAGTGAGTCCTGGAAGCAACTCAGACCCTTTGGGTGGAGGGGTAGGGAGGCCAGACCTCTGGGAGAGCTGGATGGAAAGTGGGAGCTCTAGGCTTGTAGGGGCGAACCTGTCTACCCTTATTTTGGGAACCGGTCACTCATGGATTACTTAGGTGTTTGCCCGCCCCCCCCACCCAGCGTATAATTTAGTCCCCTACTCCCTCGCCCCTTCTGTCCCCTCCCTCATCCCATGCATATAGCGGCTGGCATTCCCTTTGGGTCACTGCTGCCTTAGGCTGACAGAGATGACCGCAGAAGTAGCCCAGTGTTTGGTCTCTCTGTGCCTTGGTTTCCCTGGCAATAAGAAGGCAACGATTAGATTCTCCTGAAAGGTGTGTGACCATGTGATGTAGATTGGAAAACAGCAGGACTGTAGCTTAGACCAGAGGTTGTCAAAGGTCTTACTTGCCATGCCACCCCTTGTTAGAGAAGAGCCCCGATGTAAACCAGATAGAAGTGGGTCTGCTATTGATGGAGTGGGGATGGGTGGGCCCAGTCGTCGTTCTCTCTTGGCTCCTTGCCCCTGTTCCACCTGGGAGGGTCAGAGGAATGCAAGGACCCCTCTGAGTCCGGCAGAAAGTCAGAGGTGGATGTTTGAGTAAAGCTGCGGGTCAGATGCGACTGACAGGCAGCCAGTGAGGATTTCCTCCCACAGGTACCTGTGAGCCTTCTGTCCCTTTTGACTGACTTTGTCCAAGTGACACTCGGGATACTGAAGGCAGAGCCTTGTATTATTCATCTCTGATTATGTCCTCAGTACCCAACACGAGTCGGTTGAGGGAATGAAGTCTCTGTGGTTAATCTAGCAATTAACCCCTTTTGAGGATACTGGTTGTGCCTTAAAGTCTGAAAAAGTTAATTTACCAAAAATCAGCAGTTGGCTCTCTTTTTGCTTGCTGAAATCTGGCCCCATGTGCCTTACCCTTCAGTCCCGTGAGACACTGGGCGCTTTAAGGAAGCAACAGAATGGGCAGGTTCACTCGAGCCGCCCCAGGTGATGTCCTGTGGGAGCTGGAGGCCACGTGCAGCGAACTCCCAATGGGGTTCATACAGGAGGCCACACAGGTCCTTCCCTTTCTAGCACCCAGGCTCTCCTCACCACCTGGGCATCATTTGTTACCACTCACTGGACATCTCCTTAAAATGTGCTAATGGGCATCCACACTTGCAGATTAGCGTGTCCCTTCACCTGATAAATTTGTGCATGCTTAATATACACCTGATAAATTTGTGCATGCTTAATATACACCAAGGTTGTGCCAAGCCTTCCTCATCTATTATCTTGTGAGATTATCATATAAACCCTTATGGTAAGTACTGTTGTCTTCACCATCTTACAGATATAGAATCTAAAGCTCCAGAAATAGTAAGTAACTTGCCCAAGATTACTAAGGTCAATAAAGTCAAATAACTTTCTGAAAGTCCTACAGCTTCTGAGAAGCAGAAACGGTTATTTTCTTACCCATATGAATACCCTTTTACTATAGCACTAAGGAGAGAGTAGAGGACAGGTCTATTCATTCACTTGCTCTTCATGAAGCATCTGCCATAGGCTAGGATGGCAAACATCTGTGGTCCTGCACACCAGGCCTCCAACACTGAACCAAACACACAGAAATCGCGGCCCTTGGAGAGTTCATACTGCAGCAGGCTCAACCAGCCTGAGCTCTGCCATCTCCCAGAACCTTCCCCACCATTTCTGGGTCCTGGTGATATCTTACCTCCTGAAGTCCTAGAGCTCAGGACACATGAACCCTGCTTGGCCCTTATATTTCTCAACTTCTTCCAAAATAAAAACCAAAGGGGGAATGGCTAGACGAGTAACAGGACTGACTTACAAGTTGCTTTTTCATTCTCTGGTGGTAGATACTGTTTGCGAGTGTCATTTGACTCCAAGAAGCTGTGCTGTGTTCATCACGTTTTCGTGTGGATAAGGCTTACAGTGAGTTTCTAGAAGGCAAGAACTCTGTCCTATTCTTTGAAGCCCCCTGAAGTTCTTGGTACCTTTTGAGGCAACTCTCAAGAATTTAGGAAAACCTTAATAACTATTTTCTATATCTTACAATATCCTATTAATTATTAGTAATATTCATAATACCAGTAGTCTTTCCTGAGCACTAACTGTGTGCAGGACACTGTGTCAGACATTCTACAATCCATGATCTCATTCAGTCCTCACCATGACCTGCTGGCCTTTATTACTGCTTTCTTATTACCATCTTGCAGATGAGGGAAGCAAGGCTCAAGGTCACCCGGCTTCTAACTGGGTGCTTCAGCTAACCGGTCCTGGAACCAAAGGTTAAAGGAACTTGGGAGGGAGTGTGGGCCACTCCCGGCTCTTTCCTTCTGAGCCTCCCTGAACAGGCATAATCACTGAACAGGCTGCTCTCTCCAGCCTAACCGTGTCTGCCGCACGACACCAGGAGCACTTCTCCGCTTGCTCTCACAGCACGCAGAGCACAAGGATCCTCCCGAAGAGTTCTTGGAGAAAGCAGGCTGTGAGAGCAACCGTTGAACCTTCGGGACGGAGGCTGGGGAGCAGACCGCCTGAGCTGCTGGCAACATAAGGTACACCGATAGTCTCTTGACTCCCTCGTTAGCGCCCTTCCGAAAGCTGCTTCCCTCCTGCGGACGTGAAGTCGTGATGAGCTAACTTGGAGCAAGAGAAATGACAGGTTAACTTGCCTTCCATTTGTTTTCCATAATAAATGAAATATTTCCTTGAACACTCTAAGTCATTAACATTTCAATTTATTCATGCTCTTTCTCTCCGGTGTCCTAATGGCAATATTACATAATTACACCTGCCATATAGCTATCAACTTTGACGGCTCTTTGTGTGCCCGTAAGCACCTGCTCCCACTGCCTTTGTTAGCCTGTTGGGTTGAGGAGGCAGTTTGCTTTTTTTTTTTTTTACACTATCCTACCTTCTTTCTGTGCATGGATTGCTTAAATAGGGAAACAAGGTCAGTGAGTTAAGTGACGAGGGACTGGGTGGGGATCCAAGCTAACTCTTGCCATGTACGAGGCGCTGCTCCAAGCACTTTATGTGTATTAACTTGTTTAATCCACTGATGACCCCATGGCCGAGCCTACAGTATCATCACGTCCACTTCTAATGAGGAGGAAGCTGAGCCACAGAGAGACTGAACAAGTAGCTCGAGGTCACACTCGGTTAGGAAGTGGCCAGGCAGAGCTGACTGGAGCTGACCTCAGAATGCACATGCTTCCTTACACATCACATCACTCGTGGGGACCAGTGAGTCTAGGCAACTATCAAAGGCCTCTTCTGTCCAACCTTCTCTTCTGTGCCCGGACTCTCACATACAAACTGGTACTGCTGCTGTGTTGGGCCTTTGGGTTAAAGAGAGTGGGAGAAAAGTGGCAAAGTGGTAAATCAGCATGATTAAGTCCTCTCTTGTCCTTGCATCCAACCTCCAAACTGCAGATTCTGTGTAAAATGCCTATGGCCTTCAAGAAGTCGTTAGGTTTCAAACACACGAAGGTAAAGCAAGAATACATTTTAGTGAGCAACTTCAAAATGCTCCCACCCCAGGTTTTGCCATTTGAAGATCAGGATGGGGGCCATAGGCAGGTCATCAGGCATTCCTGAAAAGTAGGGTACTTTCTGAAATCATGGGTGAATTTTCAATCAGGCTGCCACAAATCAGGCCCTGAGGTTTTCCCAGTGCGTCTGCCGGGCACATGCGAGGAGGGATCTTAAGGTAGCAGCAGAGATGTGTGTATGTCCCCTTTAAAGTGGTATAATAATTATGTCTGTGCTTTTGGCCTTGGAAGCACAAACCAAGGCTACTGATGTGGGGAGGAAAAGAGGCTCAGAGCAATATTTTAATTTTAGAAAGCAGGCCTTACTGTCAAAGAAATTGCTCTCTTTAATTCATTAAAAATTACCATAGTCCTTTCAAATGAGAATAAAGCTAATATTCTTTAATGCTTGCTCATCATTAATATTATGCCAATTATTGCATTACTTTTGGTTGATAAATATTCAGAGGATAAATGAAGCCCACAAGATGGATTAATTCTCCAGCAGTACAAACAAAAACTTTCAATATTTTATATCACATAATTAAATGCTGTTTGTTGTTTCTAGAACCAGAACTTGGGACATGTTAATTAATTGCTTCGAGAAGACAGTTAGACATGTTTCATGGTTGATATTTGGAATCAGATATTTATAAACCCTGCACGACACTGCTGAGATGAATTACACTTGCAGAATAAATCCTACCTGCAGAAGTCTGGGGGCACCATGCCATAAACATTGATCCTGTCACAGAGCTCCAGCGCAATTGTCATGGTGAACCAGCCAGTGCTGAGCCAAGTGTTAGAGATCTTCCTGGAAGGAACAACAATTAAGTCCGCAAGCTGGTAAAGTCATCATTATAACCATTACCATCTTAAATCCTTTCGGGAGCAAGGCTGACGATTAACACATACTCTCTCTCTATCCAGTTGGTAAATAGCTGAAACCTTACCAGGTCGAAATCTCTTACCAACAGCATCGTATTCCACGGTACAGTGATAAATGATATTCACGTTCCACCATGGTGGATTATGATACGGAAGGATGCTCAAGCGACTTCTACATCATCAAAGACGATGATCGATGTTTCAGGGTTTAAATGCGTATGACCACAACCCAATTTCTTGTAAGATGACAATCCCCGTGTCAACTCTTTCTTTATTAACTAGAATACTTGACTAATTAGAAATATTCCTTGTTCCCCAGGCAGGCTAAATGATGAAGAGCTTATTAAATATGTCTAAACACACAGATGTGTCTGTCTATGTATTGATTGATATTTACTGATCGATCAAACAATCCTAACGTAAAAGCTTCCCTTCAATTAGACTAATTAACATTGATATTTTGAATGAATGTCTTTCCTTGGGAAGACTACATTCATTTGGGAAGGGGCTAATTACTAGAGGAAAAGGACCGCAAGAATGCTTATGCTGAATTGAGCATTTGCTTCATTTTACCTCAGAACATCCAGAGCCCTCTAAAACTTTTTTTTATTAGAAGACCAAATTGACAAAATTTAAGGAATGAATCTGTGTGTTCCTAAATTCATTCATTTGCCCATTCAAGCATCTGTACTGAGCTCCAGCCACGTGCCAAGCCTAAGGATAACTGTGGAGACGTAACATCAAGGTCTAATTTGACCCTGTGAGAATGACCCAGTCTACCATGCTTTGCTGCTGTGGATATTAATTTCAATTCTTAGGGGGTTGCTGCTTTTGCTTTTTTCCCAGTGCTTATGGCATGCCTCATTAGCCAGTTTCAAACACCTTATCCCCAAGGTCAGACTGTCTGACTTTGTCCGGCTGTAGCAGCACCGTATGTGATGTGAATACCAGAGTTGCTGAAAAGCTTTTCCACTTGCGCTGTGTAGCACCCCTCTTTGAGAAGGAAGAAGGCTTTTTGTGAATCAGTCTGCATTATTTCCATTTCACATATGGGCTCCAAAAGCCCATAAAAAACCCAAAAAAGCAAAGAAGCATAATAAGGAGTCCTTTATTTTGTCAAATACCTGACAGGAATGGGTGATGTAGTCATGCCTGAGTTCGTGGTTTCCACTTTGTAGTTCTTAATCCCTTTACTCATTTTAGCTTTCCATTCCATTGTCCCCTGAGCCAGTACTAGCCCAGGAAGTAAATTTTAAAAGCTCCTAAAGATGGGAACACCATGGGTTTGTACGTTGGCTGTTCTATCACGGGCCATCTGAATGACCTGAGGTGGGTTATCGCTCATCTCTGAGCCCAGATTGCCCATCTATCACGCAGGCCCGGGAAGCTCTATCTTCCTGGGCTAATTTGCCAACTCAATGAGAGAACACCATAAAAAGAATCCAGTCTGGTGTGTTGTTGATACATCGAGACCCCTTCCTCCTCTCTTGGTTGCCAGATTGGAGCAAATGAAGCAAATAATTCAGCCATTACTTCCAATGTTTTGTTTTTTTTTTAACATCCCTGAAGACACTGATATCCTTCCAATATGCTGCTACTGACTCTGGTGTAGGATCCACCATCAGTCATCAGGGCAGTAAGTACGAAATTCTGGAGCCTCCAGCCTACATAGCTATTAACAATCCTCTTCCTTCTCACCAAGCCTGTGTATTCATAAGAACTCTGGGACTTAGGGTGCCTGGGTGACTCAGTCAGTTGAGCATCTGACTTGATTTTGGCTCAGGTTGTGATCTCAGGGTCGTGAGAGCGAGCCCTGCGATGTGCTCTGTGTTGGCCGTGAGCCTGCTTGGGATTCTCTCTCTCTCTCTCTCTCTCCCCCCCTCCCCACCCCTCTCTCTAAAAAAAAAAGAACTCTGGGACTGAAGGAGGTGGGGCAGAGCAAAGCTAGCTGACTGGGGAAGGAGGCGGGGAGAAGGTTTCTTGCCTCAACTTAGATTCTGTCTTCAGCTGTGGGGTTGTGACAGTGCAATGGCCAGGTGTTCTAGACTCACACTGGGTCAGTGAATAACTGGGAGCTTGTGAGGGCCAGGAAGAGACTATGTCCCTATGCTTTTAAGTTGTCGGAAGTGCCGCGAGGGCTCTCCCAGTGGCAGAAACTCCCCGTTACCTTGGCTCACCACTATCTAAGGCACAGCCAGAAGTACAAGAGGACGTGGCTCCACAGAACGAGGTTTCATGCGTAAAAATGGGGGGAATGCATAGTGAAGGATGAAAGAAACTCAAGTGAAGAGTTCTTTAAAGTGCCACTTGCAATTCCCCAGGCTCCTTAAATAAGAGCCTTTTGGGGTCACATGCTATCGAAATGCAACTGCCTTGCACTGTCTTTCTAAAAAGATTTGAGCTCTTTTTCCAACAAAGGAATATCTACTGTTTTTACACTTAATCAACTATAATGAAGGAATATGAAGAGCTGTCATGTGCTTATTAGGGAAAATTATCAGATATTCTTTTATATGATGAAGTAACACACTGAGCTGATAATTCTATAGTGCACACTAAATTACAATTAAAGGCCTTTCTGCTCCACCAGAATCTCATTTATAATCTCTATGGAAATATTCTTCCTGCAGTTATTTCATTTATGCTTCCTTTATCTAATTACTATAATATTGGTTCTGAATCATATTTTCCTAATATACCCTTATTCAATTAGAAAGTTATTTTCAAGTACAGTTACTTTCTAATATCAAAGAATACCACTTGGCCATCTCTGTCATTTGTCACGCTTCTTAAGTGCAGATTTTTCCCCCTGAGCCATTCTCCCCTCTCCGCTTTTAAGTAGGGTGAAACTTCTATAAATCAAAATCTATTGAATTATCCTCTTTTTTTCCCAAAATAATAGCCTGAAATGAATGTCCTGATCATGAGATGTACAAGATTAGACATTCCACATTTTGTGTACCTGTAATACATCTTCCTGTTTGGCTGGGTTTCAAGAAAAGCATACAGAGAAGAAATACTCTTGGACCCCCAAATGTCTTGGGTTTTAATTTTCAGAAACACGTTTGTTCTAAAGGGCTATTTCTGACTTGGTTCTCTTAGCTTGGAGTAGTCAAGTTAAGAATATGGACACATGAGAATACTGAGCCAATACAATATTAGCCTCTTTAAGACAGTTTCTTAAAGGTAAGAGGCACAAAGATTCCAGAAGTGACATTGTAGTTTGGCACCCTACAAATCCGTAAGTGTGATTCCCCTGAAAAGGGACTGTACGGATCCTTGTGGATGGGTGTCTGCACTTGAGAAGCCCAGTAGCCAGTCCACGAAGACTTGGTTCCCTCTACCAGCTGGGCTCACCAGGGAGACAGACCCATTGAACAAAATTTTCACTGGTCAGAATTTAATAAGCTTAGTGAACAGGATATGTCTCCATGTGAGTGCGTTTCCTAAAGATCTAAGTGACCAAAGGATGGAATGACTGGTCTCCAAGTTATCAACTTAAAATAATCCCTTAAGAAGATCCAGAGCAGTGTGTAGTTATCATAAACAACTTAGACTGCAGCCGTGTTTCAGGAATTCTTAAATTTAGCAACCAACCACTAGACTAAAAAGAGGGAAAGTGTTTTCTATTGAAGAGTGTTGCTACTTATTTCAAATTTTCCAACCAGCAAAAATGAAACTGTAAATAACTCCTCTCATTCTTCTTCCCTTATAAAATGCTCTGCTGGTTAAATAACTCATTCAAATGAGTGATAGTCTCTCTGATTTGTGGTTTTTACAGGGCAGTAAGTAATTGGATTTCTTGATGACCAGGATCCCCTATGTGATCTACTGGCTGGGCTAACCACAGAGTCCTCTGGGCCTCTAGGGAAGGAGGCCACAGGGCCAGCAGCCAGCTCCCCACCTCTTCTGTCCACAAGATGCCATGCTCACTCTGGCCTGGACCTGCTCTCAAATGGTCCCAAGGTTTCCAGAATTTAAAAAGAAAGGTCTTTCACACAAAGAAGTTGGGGCAAAGTTTTGGTCTTTCTCTAAGACCCTGTTCTCTGATAATGAGCTGCCCAACCTAGCCTAGCCATGGCTTTAGTACTTTATGTTCTTCATTTCATTTATCATGTCTCTTTTGTTTTGAGAAATCAAGCCAGCAACAGTTTTTGTAAGAGAAGGGGGTAAATTACATCATTAAATGTATATTAATTATAAAATTACACGTTTCAGAATCAAGGAAACAAATTTAATCACCAGACCAGTCCTATGAGCCCAGTCATTATGCCCTTTTTCTCATGAGGTCACTGCAAGGTTAAGTAACTTGTCCGAGGCCGCACAACTAGTGAAGGAGAGTCAGAAGTCCAGTCTCGAGCTGTGTATTTAGACCACATTGCACCGCACCTTTTGATACCTAGCTGTCCTTTCTTTTTCACCTAGATTGGGCCAGCTAGTGGCCTTTCGTCTTGGCCTCGTCAAGGGCCACTCCCCCGACTGCAGCCAGAGGGGACTTTTCTCCAACCCCCAGCACGTTCTTTCACCTCTGAGCCCTTGTACCCATAAGGAGGTTTCCCTCTCCTTCCTAGCTTCTTCTTTACCTGGATAAATACTTATTGGCCCAGGACTCAGCTTAACTACATCCTTTTGAGAAAGCTTTTTCCTCATTCCCTTATATCCTAGACCAGTGCTTTTCAAAATATTTTGACCTATAATGAGAAATACATTTTACATCATGAGCATATATACATATGTGCATGTGTATGGTTTTCATTTCATTTTATTTTTTGAAGTGTGTAATTCAGGGGTGCCTGGCCAGCTAAGTTGGAAGAGTGTGCGACCCTTGATCTCGGCGTTGTGAGTTCGAGCCCCATGTGGGGTGTAGAGATGACTTAAATAAATAAAACTTAAAAAAAATAAATAGGAGCACCTGGGTGGCTCAGTCGGTTGAGCGACTGACTCTTGGTTTCAGCTCAGGTCATGATCTCAGGGTCCTGAGAATGAGACCCGTGTCAGGCTCCATGCTCAGCAGGGAGTCTGTGTGAGATTCTCTCCCTCTCTTTCCCCCCGTGTCCCTCCGCCCCCCCATGCACACACCCCTTCTCTCTCTCAAATAAATAAATGAATAAAATCTTTAAAAAAATGAAGTGTGTAATTCTGTGGATTTTTTTTTCTATATTCACAAGGTTGTGGAATCATCACCACTATCTAATTCCAGAACATTTTCATTACCTCAAAAAACCTTATAGTGTATTTTTATATGGGATGAATGCTGATATTGATGGTTCGATTCCATTCCATTTCATTCCATCCTATTTCACTGCATTAAAAAAAAATCTTACAGAGTGCCTGGGTGGCTCAGTCGTTAAGTGTCTGCCTTCGGCTCGGGTCATGATCCCAGGTCCTGGGATCGAGCCCTGCATCGGGCTCCCTGCTCAGTGGGAAGCCTGCTTCCTCCTCTCCCACTCCCCCTGCGTGTGATCCCTCTCTCGCTATGTCTCTCTCTGTCAAATAAATAAACAGTCTTTAAAAAAAAAAAATCTCACAGTTACTCACTACATTGATTTCGTGTCCCATTACTGAGCTGCAACGGATAGTTTGGAAAACTTTGCCTTAGACTATGGCAGGTCCCCCTGTCCTGCATGTCACAGCACCATTTTCTTTCCCTTGCATGATGCTTAGTCCTTGGTGAATATTTGCCCACCTGGTAAAACTTTATTTTTATTTTTAAAAATATTTTATTTATTTATTTGACAGAGAGACACAGAGAGATAGGAACAGAAGCAGGGGGAGTGGGAGAGAGAGAAGCAGGCTTCCCACTGAGCAGGGAGCCCGATGCGGGGCTCGATCCCAGGACCCCGGGATCATGACCTGAGCCGAAGGCAGACACCTAACGACTGAGCCACCCAGGCGCCCCTGGTTAAACTTTATATTCCAGGAAGTGAGGGCCCATCTCTGTCTTGTGTTCGACTACATCCCCAGTGCGTGCTGCAGTGGAGGGGTAGGCACTCAATAAATATCGGTGGACTGAATACATGTTTGCTTCGAAAGGGAAGAATAAACCCATACCCTCCGTGTGGTCAATGTCCACACAAGTAAAAGGAAATGCAATCAAACTATTATCTTGCACTTACTACCAGGGTAAACCAGCAGCTGTATAGCCTGCTCCTCCAAAATAGGGCCTTGGCCTTGAATTACCCACACAGTGTCTCAGTGATTCATTCACTTTGTCTTATAAATTCAATTTGAGCAGCCGGGCGACTAGGACCCCCTCGAGGCGAGCTCTATCAATGGCATGAGCAGTGGGGCCCCCACAAAAAGCCTTTGTCAACGTTTTGCTTCGGGTGACTCGGCCAGCGAGGACATGTCCTCGCCCTCCCCTGTGGCCCTGCCCCTCCCCAGCCCGCGCCCTCTACCTGTCTTTGCCAGTCTCCTGCTTGAAGAGCTCATCGAACTGCAGCATCTTGTGGCGCGTGGTCATGAAGGCCTTCAGCCGCGGCAGCACCTGGCTCAGGAGTTGCAGGTTGTTGTAGACCTGGCCCTTGCCGTCCCTGCGCATGTAGCTGCTGGGGCCCCAGAAGATGAACACGGTGCCCTGGCTCACGTTGAGCAGGTCGTGGCGGTTGCGGAGGATCCTCTGGATGCTGGAATGCGCGATGACCCTCAGGCTGGTGCGATTGCCCACGTCGTGCCCGTAGCCGCGCGTCGGGGCGTCATTCATGCGGATGACGCACTCGGTCTGGTCGATCTGGGGGCCTTGCCAGCTGCGCAGCAGGTGCCCGGAGCTGGTCACCAGGGCACAGTCCCTGCAGTGCATTTTTAGGGGCTAGAAAGCAGAGGGAGGAGGAGGCCATCAGCAGGTCCCCCTCACTTGGCACCAGCGGGTCATTTCGCTGCCGCAGAAGCCTGCCAGCGCCCCCTCTCCTCCCTCCCACGCCAGCATCTATCCCTTCTGCTGTGACCCATCAGCCCTTCCTTACATTCTCTCCCAAATCGGTGACAAGGAGCGGATGACAAGACCGACCTGTCAAACCCTGGGCTCTGGGCTTTACTGATACTAACGAACCAACTCCCCATATCAACCCGGCAAGGTCGCTGTCACTGCCATTTTCCAGAGAGGAGTTCTCAGGCTTGGAGATGTTAAGAAATCTGCCCAAGGGTGCATAACTAGCAAGTAATGAAGTCACGCTTTCAAACCCAGGTCTTTTTGAATCCAAGGTTACCCCCAAACGAAATAGAGACTATACCACCATTTGCTGTGACATGAGCTTGGAAGCTCTTAATTCGCCTTATTGAAAGTTCAGTGCGTATCAATATTCTTGGCTGTTGTACAAATATATTTATCCTAAATAAACATCGCCTGAGAGTCACACGGGGGAAGACATGCACGTTGTAATCCCTCAGGTGCCATAACTTTGAAATGACAACTAGGATGGTTTTAAGGAGAGAGGGAGTGAGATTGAGTTGGTCCATCTTCAAAAATGTGAAAAAAAAAAAAAAGCCTCAAGCTCAGAGCCACCGACCTCAGCCAGTGAACACGTGCCCTGTGGAAGCCCACCAGGGACAACTCCAATGACAACGCTCATTTCAACACCTTGAACCAATGATTTGCTTTCTGAACACCTATGTTCCCACACATTAAACGTTCCCCTGTTCATGTGTAATGAGAAATATCTCTTAGTTGCTGTTTGAAGATAATGTAATTAGGGCCTGAGGCCAAGGCCTGCAAATGCTCAGGCAAATGACAATCAAGAATGGTCTGAAGCAAAATAAGTCAATCAGAGAAAGACATGTATCATATGACCTCACTGATATGAGGAATTCTTAATCTCAGGAAACAAACTGAGGGTTGCTGGAGTGGGGGGTGGGGTGGGAGGGATGGGGTGGCTGGGTGATAGACATTGGGGAGGGTATGTGCTATGGTGAGCGCTGTGAATTGTGTAAGACTGATGAATCACAGACCTGTACCCCTGAAACAAATGATACATTATATGTTAAAAAAAAAGAAGATAGTAGGAAGGGAAAAATGAAGGGGGGAAATCAGAGGGGGAGACGAACCATGAGAGACTATGGACTCTGAGAAACAAACTGAGGGCTCTAGAGGGGAGGGGGATGGGGGGTTGTGTTAGCCTGGTGATGGGTATTAAAGAGGGCACGTACCGAACGGAGCACTGGGTGTTATACGCAACCAATGAATCATGGAACACTTCATCTAGAACTAATGATGTCATGTATGGTGATCAACATAACATAAAAAAAAAAAAAAAAAAAGAATGGTCTGAAGGAAAGTGGCATTGTTACCCGTGCCCCAGAGCCTCTGCCCTTCCTCCCTGCGAACCTGAACCCGAAACGCTGGCTCCCTGCGTGGTCTTGCGAAGTTGGAGCCAGTTTAGTGCTTCTATTTACTCCGGGAGTTTCCCGAGCCATCGCTCTGCCTTCAGAACCAGACAGGGGCACCTGAGGACGGCCACCTTCCTTCACTGCATAGTCGCCGAGAGCACCAGCTCTGGGGCTTTCACGACGGGTCCAGCCTTGTCTCCGGTACCTATTAGCTGTGGGACCTTGGCAAGCCACTGACCTCTGAGACTCTCAGGTTTCTCATTTCCAAATGAGGATAATGAATGCGCCATTCTATCTTGGTAGAATGAAAATGTACACAGTATTAGACCGGGCCATTTGAAATTGCCAGTATTTGAACAATAGCAATTGCAGGGGTTTGAACCCAGTGCTTACATAGGATCACTGGGTAATGAGACTGTTATTGGGATTACCTGTCAGAGTGGAGTGATTGCAGGCACTCACTAAGTCAGTACTGATCACTTCGGTTTGATAATTGACATGTAAGCTTATGAAATGGAGATTCTACCATTGCAAATTCTCATCATTCATTTGACACCCAGTTACTCTTAAGTGACAGACACTATAATGGGCAGTAAGAATGCAAATGGAATGCAAAAACAGAAACCCGTCAAAGTTTATACTTTAGTGAGGGACGGTGGGTCAGTCAAAACGTGCAATAAAGTGTGAGAGGATGAGGCGGGGGACTGTGTGAAAGTCTTAGTAAAGGGCGATGCTGAGAGCACAGCAAGGCGGTGGGCACAAACGAGAGAGAGGCCACTTTCGCTCATGGTGATTAGATGCTTCCATGGGCCAGGCACTGTGCTGAGCTTCTTATATAATTGCATTAGTTCTTCAAATAACCCCATAAGGAAGGTATTATATCATCACCCCTATTTTACTAATGAGGCTGAGGGATAGAAAAGTAAGGAACTTGCTCAAGGCCATACAGTCAGGAAGTGGTAGAGCTGGAATTCACACCCAGGAAATCAAACTGCAGAGCCCGTGGGATTAACCATCATGGCATCACGGTGCAGTAGAATAAATCGAACACGTGCTATGAGATGTTTTAAGTCATTGCCTCCTTTCCTTCTTTCCTCTCACAACCCCGGAAGCTCAGTGATGCTGTTTCTTAACCAGTAGTGTTGTTTTGCTTTTAGGGCATTGGGCCGGCTGGATGCAGTCAAGTGACAAAGGTCTTGTATCCAATACGTCCATTCCTTGGAGCCCCGTTAACAGCAGACCCACGAATGAGTGAAGTGAATGAGAGTAAAATGTACATAAGACCAAATCTTCCTGGGATGCCTGGGTGGCTCAGTCGGTGAAGCGTCTGCCTTTGGCTCAGGTCATGATCCTGGGGTCCTGGTTCAAGCCCCGTGTCAGGCTCCCTGCTCCGTGGGGAGTTTGCTTCTCCCTCTGCCTGCCACTCCCCCTGCTTGTGTGCTTGCTCTCTCTCTCTCTCTGACAAATAAATAAAATCTTTAAAAAAAAAGCCCAGGGGCGCCTGGGTGGCTCAGTTGGTTAAGCGACTGCCTTCGGCTCAGGTCATGATCCTGGAGTCCCGGGGTCGAGTCCCGCATCAGGCTCCCTGCTCAGCAGGGGGTCTGCTTCTCCCTCTGCCCTCTTCCCTCTCATGCTCTCTGTCTCTCATTCTCTCTCTCTCAAATAAATAAAATCTTTAAAAAAAAAAAAAAAGCCCAAATCTTCCTTTTGAGGAATAGCCACATTACAGATGTGTAGAATCCCCTCAGGAAACTCCTGGAACCTGGAGTTGGAAGCCCTTCTGAGTCCCCTGAATGAACTGCCGGGGGTGAAGAGAAATTTCATGGGCCAAAGGATGGAGGAAATACTTAATTTTCCTTTTTCTGATTTTACATGCACACCCCACACAGAAAGGATGAAGAGGGAAAGTTAAACGATCTGTTCAACCATGGAGCTCCTATCAAGTCTCAGGCACTGAGCTTGGTGATATAGATAAAAAGATCTGGTCCTTCCTCCCAAGGGGGCACACAATCTAAGATGAGCGTGCCCCCAGATAAGGAATTACAGGACCATGGAGTAAGTGCTAGAATGCAATTAGGCACAAGGGACCAAAGGTGAGGGAACATTTGAGCCTATCTGGAGGAGACGGAGAGGAGGGGGGACAGCCGGGAAAGGACTGTGTGATGGACACCAACAGATGACATGACTGTAAAAAAGAGGCGGTGGTTGATGGGGTCACAAGACACCAGAGGACAAGTGAAACCAAAGTTGGCAAGTGTTCTCTGGATTTGGAGGCGTTGGCCACAAGACTCCCAGTTGAACCGAAGGGGCAGAGCCTGAGCTTGGTTGGCCGGGAGGGAAGTGGAGGAGGGAGCTTGGCGGTGAGGGCTGATGGAGGGTCGATGGCGGGGCAGGTGGATCCGCAGGGCAGACTGGAGCGCTCAGGGTGACCAACCCACCTGGTTTGTTAGGGGCTGTTTGGGCGTCAGCATGGAAACTCCCGCATCCTGGGAAACCTCTACTCGTGGGGAAGCCCACTAAAAAAATGTCCTACAAGATCGACAGGGGCATTGGCAAATACCACGTTACTCAGTGAGGATTAGGGTCAGGAGACCCAGGGTCTGAATTTTGTAAGTCAGGTCCTTAACGTTCTCACCCGTAAAACAAAGAGGAGATCAACTAGATACTTGTGGCCACATGACATTCATTCGTTCATTCATTTAAAAGACACTTGCTGAGCACTCAATACCCGTGAGGTACCGTGTAACTCAGTACATTTGTTTAATAAGGTCACTTCGTAGGATTTCATCCCATTGGACCCTAAGGCCATTGGAACTTGCTTTTTCTCATCAGACTCACCTCGAACTATCATCTTGAATTTTCTAGTGTGACTGATAATTACAAGACATTGTGCTTATTTTTACTGGGGAAAACATTCTGAAGAAAAGTTTCCACATCTCTCTCCCCCATAATTATTCTGCTGCGATTCTCAGAACACAAGCTGGTTGACAGGTGAACCCTGTGTCACCTATAGAAATTCCTGTGCCTTCTGTCTTCCACCTCTGTGCATGTGAGGCCAGTGGAAGACCCTTCCAGGGAAGGCCAAGGTTCCTGACTGTGCCATACTGGTCCTCTGGCATTACTGGGCACCACCCGAATATGCTGGGTCTGCCCAGTCCAGAAATCCCTCCCTCATGATTCCTGCCCATCTGCCTGAGCTCTGAGGTATTGATTACCTCGGGCAACAACACCCACTCTTGCGTTGTTCAGATGCACCAAACAATGAGCAAAAGATTGAAGTCTGAATTATGCCTTAAGTGTCTTTTGGTAAGTGGTGCCAATAAAATGACAATAGCTGTTCTAAACAGAATGTTACATTTCCCGCAGCTGAGACAAGCATGCACCAAAGCCTGAATCACTTCCAAAGGAGGAAATGAAGTCTGTTTTCTGCCTTTGGAAGGACTGATGATGTCTTGGGAGGCAGGATGACTAGAAATTATACAAACTCCATGACCCTGTTTCTCAGGATGCGTTATGGTCCTCCCAGAGAGCCATGCACCTCCACATCTCAGTATGATTATAATCCTTAGTGTCTTAATGATATGGGTGGAAATATGCATGCCTTGGTGAGTTAAGATTCCTGATGCAGTGTTCACATATACTTCCCTTAAGCACTCAGTTGCTGGGTTGATGAATCACTGAGCAGAGGACAGGAAGGTGAACTTGCAGCTCTGCTAGCGGGTCTGGGAGCTAAAGCTCCATGGAGGACACAAGAGCGGAGGTGGCTCCTGGGGAACCCACTGGCTAGCCAGGGCTTCTCTCTGACTTCCTCCTCACAGTGCTCAGTCTCCTGATTCTGGGGGACATTTTCCTTAAAGCCCCATTTAGTGAGGTATTCCATCGTTTGGTAAGACACATGGGCACTGGTATTAGATCACTCCAATCTTGGTCATCTCTCTTGCTTCCTGACCTATAAGAGGCACTCAGTTAACACTGACTAGATGGATAGATCGATAAATGAGTGAATGAGACCCAACCGCCTGCCTTGTCTGTTCTCTGAGAAAGCCAGTCTCCTGAGATATAAAGAGAAGACACGATGTGGTGCCCTAACCAGGTATTTGCCTGAAGACCCCAGCCCTCTGTCCTAGATGCCATGGAGAGAAAAAGGGTGGGGGGGGGGCCGTATAATGTGAAAGCCTCTGTCTGCAGAGAAGGAGGCTATGGCCCTTTGCCTCAAGCCTCCCCGTCCAGGGAGCCATAATGGCCAGAGCTGAGGGCACTGCTTGGAATTAATGGCTGGCTAGGAAAATGGCCCAGGACACAGTGAGGGCCATTAAGCCCAGCCAGTTATTAATCCCCAGTAAGAGCTTGATGCCAAGGTCATTAGAACTGTTGTGAAGGAAAAAATGCCCCGGAAAATCTACAGTGCGTGGAGGCCACTGGTGCTCAGAGCTGCAGCCTCGTTAGGCCCCAAACGTGGGCCGTACGAGCACCCGTGGGAGGTGGGCAGGCTGGCTCTCCGCGGCGGGGGGAGGGGGAGGAGCGTGCACAGCGCGGATGGGCACACACACGGAGCTTACCATTTTATTTTTGCCCTCTGCTAATGTGTAAGCGTTTGTCATCATTCCAGTACCTAAGACTGGCTGCAACTTAGTAGGGGCTCAGGAATGTTTTAGAATATTTTAGAAGGTGTGAATGAGTCTCTCCTTCCACCTACTCCCCCCGCTCAACTCCCCAAATCAGAGAACAGAGGAGCATGACATCTTGCATCACAACTTACTCCTTTGGGCTCAGGCAACAGGAGCAATCCTTGCTTGAGAAGGCATGCTCAGGGAATCAAGGTCTGATTTCTGTCACAGCCCAGAGAGCAGGAGCAGAAGGAATTCTCCCTGTGACCCAGCGGAGGCCTCCTGAGCCTTTCTTAAGAGAATAGACCAGGCCAAGTCAAATTAAACTTGACACCTAAAATGCTCAGTGATGTCCTTGCAAACATTTGCAGCATGGCAATCTCAGGCTTCACTTTTTAAAATTCTGATTTATTTGGCAGAGGGAAAGGTACCTCAGAGCATAATGTCCATTAGCTCAGTAATGAGACCAGTCTTGCTCTGGGAGCTTCTTGTTGGTCTGGAGCAAACATAAGATATATTAAATGGCTTCAGGTGTTTCAAGAATCTCTGCACTTTTCAATCTGATGTTTTCCTGTAATTACTGGGCTTTTATTAGCTGTCAATCTCGGTTCAGCCTGACATGGGTATAAGCCACTCTGATTATTTAATGTGATTCCCTAGAAAAATGTTACTCTTTCAAGCTGCTCTTCTCTCTCAGTGACAAGCCCACCCACCAGCCTTCATTGCCAAGAAGTCCTCCTCTCTCCCCGCCAGCCCATTTTTCATGATTTACCTCTACGGGCTGCCTGAAGATGAGAGCTCCACGGGCAGGAGGCAGTACTGAGCAGTGTTTAAATTATGGCCTTTGGAGTCACTGGCTTGAACCTGCTTCTTCCTCTCCTTAGGTGGATAATTTTGGGTGAGGTGGCTTAGTTTTTCTGAGTCCTTGTTTTTTCATCTGTAATATGTATATAGTAAAGCCAATCTCAAAGGGAAGGTTTGCCATCTCAATTAAAGGCATACCTTCCACCCAGTTTCTCAAGATAAAATTCAAAGCTCATTCTTGATACCGCTCTCTCTCCACCTGCTAAAACTCTTCCAGCCCTCCTGGATCCATCCTCGTACACGTATCCCAAACCTACCCCTTCTCACTGAATAGCGTCACTGGCAGAAATCTCAGAGATTGTTTAGGCTAATAATTTTCAAGGTGTGGTTCCCAGACCCACAGTGACAACAAAGTCTAGGAACTTTCAAGAAATGCAACTTCACAGACCCCATCCTGGACCTTCTGACTCAGATGCTCTGAGGTGGCGTCCAGCAATCTCCGTTTTCACAAGTCCCCCAAGTGATTTCTGATGCATCCTCGAGGTTGAGAACCCCTGGACCAAGCCAGGATCCTCATTTTACAGAGGAGGGAGCTGAAAGTCAAGAGGTTATGTGATTTGCTCAAGGTCAAACCCTAAAAGAAGCACCTGGGATGAACCCCAGGTCTCCTCACTCTTACAAATCTAAGAAAATCCACGTATATGCATAGACTGTTCAAAGTTGCTGGGACTCACTGAAAAGGAATCATGAGTTAGTGGTGCACTGAAGCTGGAACCCACAGCTGGAAGTGGTTTTGTGGAGATAGATGAGTAAGAAGGCTCATTCCTTAGCAGCAGTGCCTGCCCCTGCTTATTTGGAGTAAGCAACCAGGAACAGCTATAGAGCAGGCAAACCCCGCATTACAGGGAGAATGCCCACGCATGGCTGGCGGCTGCTTTCACCCCAGGAGGTGGGCCATGGGCGTTCTCTCCAGCCGGCGCAGCCCCGCGAAGGTGTGGCCAGACTCAGAGACCTGTTGTGAGTTGAACGGTGTTCATCCAACAGCCCCTCGCCGCGCACCCACGAAGCGATGTTGAAGTCCTACCTGTGGACGTGACCTTGTTTGGAAAAAGCATTTTTGCAGACAAATTAAGGGGTAAGTCAAGAGCTGGTCACACTGGATTAGAGCAGTCCTCGCGTCCTTAGAAGAAGAGACTCAGAGGCACAGCGACACCCAGGGAGAACACCGTGGTGAAGGAGGCAGGGGTCACAGGGAGGCACGTACCGGCCAGAGGACGCTGAGGCAGCTGTAAGGTGCAAGGTACGATTCTGCCGTAGAGCTTTCAGGAAGAGCCCGGCTCTGCCAAAACCTTGATCTCAGACTTCTAGCTGCCGGAACTGTAAGAGGATCAATTTCAGTTGTTCTAAGACAACCAGATTGTGGTAATTTGTTCTGGCAGCGTTGGAGACAAATACACTGTTCCTAGGCGGTCTTCAGCCTCTGCCCACCCCCCCACCATCCCACCAGCACCCCCACCCACAGGGTCTGGCAGCTTTCACCCTTACATTTCATGCCCCACATGGCTGCAAGGGTGAGAATTTTAATGCACAGAGCACGCCACTCCCCTGCCCTGCTTGAAGAGTAAAATCCAAAATCTTTACCTGGTCGGAGCCTTGCCCACCTTGTGGCCCTCAGCTCCATTCACTTGCCATTCTCAGCGCCATAGATGGCTGATCTCCTTTCTGCCGCTGGGAGAGATCGGGTGCTCCTTCTCTGCCCCTAGTCTTTGTTTCTCGTTATTCACATGCCCCGCTCCTTCTCATCTCTCAGGTCTCACCTTGAAAGTCATCTCCTCCCAGAGACCCTCCCTGACTGCCTTAATTGGACGGGAGTCTCCCCCACCTATTACATAACAAAGATATTAACTACTAATAACACTGACAAAACACCGATATGCCAGGCACTGTTCTAAACACAATACATACATCACCTAAGTTAATCCTGAAAACAGCCTTGAAAGGCAGGTTCTACCATGGTTCTCATTTTTATCAGACGAGGAAGTTGAGCTACAGGTTTATCATGGTCCTCTCATGCACCTTCCTGTTTATTTCCTCTGGCACTTACCACAGTCGGTAATGATTTACATTTCTAATTTCTTTATTGTCTGTCCCCGCCACTAAAACCCGAGAGCCACAGGAGCAGAGATCATGATGTTTGCATAGCACACAGCAGGCCCTCATAGATTGTTAAAGAAATACTTGCCTGCCTGCCTTTCTCGGCAAGCAGTAGATGACTTTTCTCTGTCCAAAAAAGGTGTGGATGAGTCGTCAGAGAGACAAGCCCGTTTCCAGGGCCTGTTTCTTCTCTGGTGTGCAGGACAAAGGCTGAGGGTAGAGGATGCCTTTCAAATAACCCCCTGCCTGAATCCCCTCGACGGTCACTCCTGCGCAATTCCTTCCTCTAGGAGGAGAGAGGGTATATAGGCCTCCTGTGCTCATTAAAACAAACAAGAATCTGCATTTTTATGAGGGTACGGTGATATTTAATGCTGCCAGACAAACCAGATTCCCCAAAACTGGCTTCTTTGGCCCCTGCTGCATTTGAAAGGGCCTTCAGGTAAACACAGCATGGTCCAAATCTGATAACTGATATCGGATGGTCAGAAACAAGAGAATTATGAAAATGTGGGGGATCCACATATAGCTGAGTTAAATGGAGGAAAAAAAAAAGCTATGGCTTCAGTTGACCAGATGAGAAAATAGTCTAACCCGACGAATCATTAAATTTGTAGAGTTCAAGTGGGAAGAGTCAGACTTGGGTTCAAGTCTCTGTTAAGTCGTTTATTGGTAGGTACTTCCCTACTCTGAGTCTCAACTTTCTCATCTGTAGAATGGCACGGCAGACACTCAGGAGGGTGTAACTAGTACGACTATCATGGCTTAATTGTTACAGATACAAAAAGGACTCTCCTGAGTAACACGTTACCTGCCTCTCCTTACGTCCACTCAATGAACCTGCAAACTCAACCTGTTGTATCTCTGTTGAATTTGATCTTTTCTACCCACCTGCACCTTGCTTCCCCCCGCCCCCACCCCTGCTTCAACCCACTATCTTCACTGGATCACCGCCAGGCCTCCCACATACACTTCGACTGTCCACATATGTCAGGGAGGCCTTTCTATAAAGCACATCTAATTAGGACCTGCTTGTGCTTAGTATCCTTAAATCCTAAAATCCCTGAGTTCCTCCTGTTGCTTTGAGGACAAGGTCCTTCCAGTGGCTTACCAGACCCTCATATCCCCCTCAGTCCTTCTTTATCCCTCACCCTCTCGTAGCTCTCCATACTCCAGTCACCTTGATTTTGACTTTGTAGCTCCAAGTGGCACTAT